TCTAAAAGAAAGGTAATAATTTTTTGGGGGACCGACTAATAAAAAAAGTATCACATAAATTACGACGGAGAAAATATCTTTTTCTTATATAGTTGTGGTTCCGTATATCTCGACTATTTTATTAAGTACATATACTATTTTCAAACTGAGGCAAATTTAAAATTTTAATTTAATGAGTTTACTTTAGATTTTTTTAATCAATGAACCTATTATACTTTTAAAATTAGGTTTATAATGTAAGTCTTTTAAAAGTTTATTGACTTTTTACATACGTATTATTTATATTATGTATCAAAAAATATTGAGTACAATTGAACATACCTTTACATTATATCCACCTCTGCTTTCTAGTATCCCGTAACTTTACTTATTAAAATTTTGACAAATGAAAAAAATTATTTAGGAATAATAATTTTCTCTCTATTGATCACTAAGAATACAACTCTCCTGATAAATTTCGTCGCCAAAAATTTAGGCTAACGAAAAAGTCACTTAACATTTTTATCATTATTAAAATTCGAATAATGATAATAATCTCGCTGGCCAAATAGGAAATAGACTTTTTAGTTAGGATCCAACTCCTCTCCATTTTCATGTCTCCATTTGCCTAAGTTCTCACATCGATGAGTGACATGTGTCTTATTTTAATATCAATGATTTAAATCTAATTAATTAAAGCAAGCTCTTAACCATAGTTAGATAATAGATTCTCCCATATATTACTCCCAAACAAATTGGCAAGCCCACAATTGTAGCTACAAATTTCCTTCTTTTCCGTAAATGTTTTTCCAAATACTTGGCAGTAATCTCACAATTCTGGAGCAGGTTTTCTTCAACAAAATAAATTGCATGTCTGCATAATTGGAAAAAGGAAAAATACATAGTATAAATTAATCACAATCTAATGCTAACAAATTATTTAAAAAGCATATATCATCAATTATTATACGCTTTCTTTTCCCTTGATCCTTGTACGGTGGTTGCGCCACTAACCGTGGTGGTAGATGACAAGAACCAATGAATATATCTCTTTTAACTTTAACGACATATACGAAAAGAAAGTTACTAATTGTTGCGCTCATTAAATTCGTATAAGTGCTTTAGATGTCAATTGTTTATATTCCTTTTTCCAGAAACATTGGAGAGATTTAAATATTTATTTGTGAGAAGCTGAAAAAATGCAAGTTTAGCATACTGTTTCTCTAAATTTAAAATGAGTCCGTGAGACTAAAATAATAAGCATTTGGAAAATGAAGGAAAATAAAATAGTGATCTCCAATACGACAGCCAAATATTTGGAAAAGCATTTACAAAAATATGGAAATTTGTTGCTACCAATTGTGAGATTACCAAATCTTTTGGAAGAAATTAATGAGAAAATTTATTATCTAACTATGGTTAAGAGTTTGCTTTAATTAATTAGATTTAAACTATTGATATTAAGATGAGACACATGTTACTCATCCAAGTGAGAACTTGGGTAAATGGAGACATTAGGAAAAGTAGTAAAGTACTGTCGGCAATTTTGAATGGTCAGACAGAATATAACAATAAATAGAGAAACAATATTGCACTTAATTTCGAGAAACTATAAAGGGCTCTCCTAACTTTTACGGTTTTACCTCCTACTGCACCTCTTAATATTGTTCTAATTACCCACACACAGTACCAACTTCACAATCAACTATTCACACCATACTTTACGGCTTGTTTGGATGGTTGTTAACATAGGCGGATTTATCTTAGCTCAAGCGGTGTCACGTGACACCGTTTGATCGAAATTTTTTACTAAATAAGATTATATAATTAAAATCCATTAGGAAAAGGTAGATAACTTTATTAGAGTGGCATCATTTAACAAGCATAGTTGTGTAGCTCAATGGATCAAGAGTCACATTTGCATATTTTATTCAACAAAAATTTATATGACTTGTACTATAAGTTGGCTACTTTTTTTTTTATCTTCTTTCTCAGCATTGAAATTGATTAAGAACAATTTGTAGAATCGTGTGAATGGCTAATTTGTGTGATTACTTAGTGTTCTATATATCAAAAAGTATTTAGTATTATTTCTAATGAGGTTATGTTAAATACATTTCAAATAATAAAAATTCATATCTTGTAATATACTTGAGTTGTGTTTTATAAAAATAATTCAAATTATATTTTTTTAATATGTTGTTATAGTGAATTATTATTTATTTACTGTTTAAAATCGTGACACAGCTTATGAAAAATACTGCGTACGTCACTGGTGGTTATGTATCGTTTCCTAATGTATCGTATAGTATTATACTATATCATTTTGATGTATATAATGTTTGGATATATTGTATTGTTTGTCATTATTTCAGGATGTCATATACCAACAATATGAAGAATAAACTTACAATATTATAAAGGAAAAGTAAGATACGAGATATAATTGTTATATAAATAGGAAGGGTGAACGATAAAATAGAATTATTTACTAATAAGGAACGACAAGATGACAGAAAAAAATAAGCTAACGATGCGACCACACCCAATCGATCGTTCCATAAAGTGACACTTTTCATTGTTACGTAACGACATGTTTAAAGATACAATAAAATTTAAGTAACAATCAAAATAAACATTATAGTTAAGGTAACAATACAACACAAAAATACAAATAAGAACCATCCAAACAAGCTAAAGACTTTAATTTCTCATCTTCCCTTTGCCATTGCCCCCACCACTATTTATATCTCCAAACACTTGAGAAACATCACCTTTACCTTAGCTTCTTTATTTCCTCTCATTCAACTGAATCTCTTCTGTTTCTGATATTTTGCTTTGATATATCATGGCTGGAAATGATGTGAAAGTATTAGGAGCATGGCCTAGTCCATATGTTATGAGGCCCCGTATTGCTCTTAACATCAAATCTGTGGCCTATGATATTTTGGAGGAACAATTTGGTTCTAAAAGTGAACTTCTCCTTAAATCAAACCCAGTTTACAAGAAAATCCCAGTTCTAATTCATGACGGAAAGCCCATTTCTGAATCTCTCATTATTGTTCAGTATATTGATGAAGTTTGGAATTCTGGTCCCTCTATTCTCCCTTCTGATCCTTATGATCGTGCTATTGCTCGCTTTTGGGCCACTTATATCGACGATAAGGTGTGCTCAATTTTCCATCTTTATGTGTGTGTAATAGTTGTGACTGTTGAACAATTAACATGATAATAACATCTATAATGTAGGTATCTTGTGGACTCTTAGGTTGTTAATCACGACTCTTGAGCAATTAACATGATAATGACTTCCAAAAATGCAGTAAATATTTTGTATATCCATTTTAGCCTGTCATAATTACTTTTAGGTGTGTTCAGCGAGGATAATGTTTTTTATGTGAACTATTTTATACTGGAAACTATTCTTGAGAGTCATCTCTATCTGTTTTTTTAACAAAGTAAGAGTTATGGATTCTGTAGAGGAAAATATCTCCTGTGCATAAATGCCTGTCATTTTTCTCTTTCAATGGAATCTCTTTTCTTAGAGAAGAAAAGTAACCAAACACTAGAAAATAATTTAACTACAAGAAAAAAAAATTCTCTATGCCAAATAATTTTTCATTTTCAGTAATTAAGATCTCTTCATCTGAAAACTAATATCGAGACACAGACACACAAGACTAAAGCCAGCTATACTCTTATTAAATTGTTTGCTTTCTGTCTCTATGGTGTAATGGAGAGAGAAAATGTGAAAAGAGAAATAAAAAATATATATACCTTTGTGGATCACACTTATATCGTATTTGTAATCTTGTCACAGCTCATTTCTAACTGTCAAAAATGCATTAGTAATCACAGTATAATGAGAAAAAGCAGTAAAAACTAGTCGCATCAAATATGTTAGTGGTTTATGAACAACTTGGTACATTTTGAAAAAGAGAGAAAAAACGATGAACACTTGCAGTAGACAGTAGTATGCTTTGCATTTCATTTAGATAAGCAAAATATTGGATTCCTTGTGGGGTTCATGTTTTCTTTATCAGTTGCAATTGTATTTTGGGGCGGAACTACATGTATTGGAAGGGGTTCAATTGAATCCCCTATATTGGGTAATTGTACTGCACAAATATGGTAAAAAATAATCTCTTTTTTACATATATATATTGTTGAATTCGTTTGACATGTGGAAGTTTGTAGTGCAGTAATAAGGTGGCTTAATAATTGCTTTAGGTGGTAGGTTCAATTCTCAAATTGACATTTTTGTAATTTGGAAATCTCCTTAGAATTCTTGAGTGTAGTACTGACATTTTAATTGATGCTGCAGTGGTTTCCAGCGATGCGTGGCATAGCGGCAGCCCAAGGGGAGGATGCACAAAAGGCAGCAATGGAACCGGTGGTGGAAGGTCTGGTGTTATTGGAAGATGCCTTCAAGAATTGCAGCAAAGGCAAGAAGTTCTTTGGTGGAAACAAAATCGGATACTTGGACATTGCCCTTGGCTGCTTCTTGGGTTGGATGAGGGTGACTGAGAAAATGAACAACATAAAGCTGCTTGATGAAGCCAAGACTCCAGGTTTATACAAATGGGCTGAAGATTTTTGTGCAGATAGTGCTGTCAAAGATGTCATGCCTGCAACTGATAAGCTTGCTGAGGCTGCTAAGCTCATTCTGGCCAAAATTAGAGCCCAAGCATCTAGCTAAAATTGTATGGTTGTCTTCTTTCAAGATTTGTTTAGACTTTCAGGTGTTGATAGCTATTTTCAATCTCTAGCTAAGATGACATATGAGAACAACATTTGGTCTTTGAAAGAATCTAAAATATGTAATAAATTAACTATTCAGAAATGAGTACGTGAAGCCAAGAACTAGTATGTGTTGATTAATTCTAAATGGTGCCTATTTGATGTTTGTTTCAGTTTTTGAAACTGAAAAATGGTGTATACCGAACTGAATTCAGGAACTGACTGACAATAACAGCGCAGAAATGTATGGAAAATCCTGATGGGGTGCCTTAAGCAGCAGAGAACATTAACTTGGTTTCATCTCACATTTTAAGCTAGGAGAATGAATTAACTCTTGTGATGCTGATTTCATTATGTCTGTAGAATGCTTGTTTTTATCCAACTATAATAGAAGATTCCGATACCACTCATCTTGTGATTCGCTAATGTTGTGAGAAACTATAGGCCAAAATTGAAAAAGTGGCTAGATTCATGACACATATAGAGATACAGCTTGCCATCTTTATGATTACTTTGTCTGCAATAGTGCTTAATATTGTTTTTGCCGGCAAAGAGAATCTTGTTGAGTCCTACATTGTTTATCTGAAGAGGTCGACATTGTAGATTCCAATGCTGTCTATGACCATTAGACCATCATAAAACGAGTGCTTAATTCTGTGTTAAATTGCTTTTCTTTCTAGTTCATTAGTTGGCTATGGCAACCAGCAATGTAAAGCTTCTAGGAAGAAACGGATGTCCTTTTGTGAATCGGGTTCAAATGGCTCTTAGCTTGAAGTCCATCGACCATGAATTCATTGAAGAGGATCCGTTCAAGAAAAGTGAGCTTCTTCTCAAATCAAACCCTGTTAGTAAGAAAGTCCCAGTTCTCTTCCATGCTGAAAAGCCTATCTGTGAGTCTCTCCTCATCGTGCAATACATCAATGAAGCTTGGCCTAATAACCCCTCCATCCTTCCTTCGGATCCTTATGAACGTTCCATTGCCCGGTTTTGGGCAGCCTATATTGATGAAAAAGTAGGTATTTATTCTACAAACATCCTATTTTACTTATTTTTCTTTTTGATTTTTGCTATTTGAGTCCAAGTAGAGGTTTTTATCTTCATAACTTTCCTGCTGAAGCTACAAAAGATTTTGATGTGAAGTTGCAAGCAGGTCCTTATTTGAGTTCAGATGTATAGTTTTTTCCTGATCATGTTGATAATTATCTTGTCATCTAAATCAAGAAAGTTGTATGCAGTGGCTTCCTTTAACAGCAGAGTATAGGAAGGCTGAAGGAGAAGAAGCAAAGGCAGCGGCGAGAGACAAATTGGTTGAAAGGACATTGCTGCTAGAGGAAGCTTTCATCAATAGTAGCACAGGCAAATCTTTCTTTGGTGGAGATAACATTGGTTACCTTGACATTGTTCTTGGGAGTTTATTGGGATGGCTTAAAGCTGAAGAGATTATGACTTCCACAAAAATATTTGATGAAACCAAGATTCCTCAATTAGTGGCATGGACTGAAAGATTTTTTGCAGACATAGCAGTGAAGGATTTCATCCCAGAATCTGAGAAACTTGCAGAAGGTTTCAAGAAGTTTGAGATACTAAAAGCTGCCTCAAACACAAATTAAGGGTACTTTAAATGGAGTAGTATGTGTAGAAACTTGATCCTGCTTCTATGCTAAGTTGCTCCGACATGGCAGTTTAGGTGCCGCACCCGTGTCGACACGACACTAGTATGGGTGTGGGTATGGGATCCGTACCGGATCTGGTCAAACGATTTTGGATACTTTGACCACGACGGACGAAAAAATTTGAGACGATATACAATTTAATTCCCGAAATCAAAACCAAAATTAGGATAAATTTGAATAAAATAGCATACCTTATCTAGGAGAATAAAAAAGAAATTCACACTTTACAAGCTATACATAAGTATTCTCCAACATTTATCATAATTTAGAAATATTTTTTTATATTTTTATTTTTTGAATTATTTTTAGCCGGATCTTTGCACCCGTATCCGCACTAGGATCCGTATCCACGAATTTTAGAATTTACATCTCAAAGGATCCGACCTCTAGATCCGCATCCATGTCGGACAGCTACACCTATGTCCGAGCAACTTAGCTTCTATGAATGTACTTGAATAACACAGCCAATTCAAAAGGCTTTACAAGATCTAATTCGACAAATTGGAAATGATCGCTATTCCTATGCATTACTGAATAAGATTGTGTTTTATTCTTTAGAACTGACATGTGTAGAACAACTTGATCAAGCCCCAGAACAATATCTTGGTAATTTTATAGTTACAAAGTACAAACACCAAAGCATTATGCAGATAGCAATAACATAAATATTTGATTATCATAGGATAAGATTAAAAGAGAAGTACTAAAACACTAATAAGTCTTGTTGGTGTGTCTAAAATGAACTAATGGCCTTCCCTTTTATAGGCAAAAAAGTCTTAGCATCTTATATGTAAAGGAAGAAATACAACTTGTACAAATGATATCCACTACACAATGCAATATTTTTGGGTCCCAAAGAATATTGCCAACAAAGTCTACACTTTGCAAAGATGCTTATGCTTATGTGAGATGAACTCCATTAGCCAAAATATTGGCCATAATTACAAATCTCCACCTTGGCCTAATTTTGGTTGATATAGTAAGTTTGCTCCACTTCTCCGCTAAAGCCCCAATGGGCATATGTCAAAATTTAATGCCATCAAATCAGACAAGTTGTCTGATACCGAAACTGTAGTAGGACCTATAACAGTGGAACCCAATAAAGTATACAACGAACCAGATCTGTGTGCTTTCATGATCACAAGAGTACCTTGAAAAGTTTTTAGAACTCCACCTTCACCAGTGAATTTGCACCCAAGGGATTCTAAAGTGTCCAAGAGATGAGATTTTTCTTCAACTCAGGAACATATCTAACATCGGTGAGAGTTCTCACCACACCATCGTGCATTCTGATCCGAATTGTATCTTTACCAATAACGTTACAAGTAACATAGTTACCCAGTTGGACAACTCTGCCTGCAACTGAATCATATGTAGAAAACAAGTCCCTGCTAGGACACATATGATATGAACAACCGGAATCTAAAATTCACTCATTGTCTAATCTGAAACTAGTTTCAGTTGCTAAAAATATAGTTCCTTCAATCTCATCAGTTGCTATACTAGCTTCGGCGATGTCAGTATTTTTGTGCTCATTTTTTCTTTCTTTATGCTTTTCTTTATTTTTTAGTTTATAGCATTCAGAGATAATGTGACATTTCTTATGACAATAACGACACTCTAAATTATTGTATCTGGATATAGAGTCGGATTTTCCCCTAACAAACAAGTCAACTTTCGCTTGAGTTCCACTAGCTTCCCCAGTAATATCACTATCTATCTGCTCTTTTGATTTTAAGATATATTTAATATCCTTATAAGAGATATTATCCTTTGCATAAAGCATAGTATCTCTTTGGTTGTGATTTTTACAGAAACTTCACGTAAAACCTCATTTGAGAGATTTAAGATGATACCTGATTTTGCCTTTTTATCTATGATGGCAAACTCCTCGTTCGTCATTTTATCCGGCTTCTTCTCCTTTCCTTGCAACGCCAAGTCTAAGCCATCCTGAATTAGGATAACTTCCATCTTTAATTGTCACATTTCGAAGTTTGCACTTCAGTCAAATTTCTCAACATAAGACTTTGTTAGAGTCATTTTGGCTATTTAAACTAACCCGGCGGCTCTGATACCAATTTGTTAGGATCGGAAACCCGGGTAGTGTGTAATTTAGCCAAACAACGGTATAATGACAATAACAAAGACAATGAAAGTTGATAACAACGGCAATTAAAGCATATAAAGAAGACACAAATTTAATATGGTTCGGTCAAATTATCTACGTTCATTAGCGCAGAGGAGCAATTTTACTATATCAATAACAGTACAAAAGAGAGTACAAAATTAGAGTAAACACTCTAATTAATCCCAAATACCCTAAGAGAATAACCAAACAAGATCACTCCAAAGAAGGGGTTCACACAAGTGCTTCCCAACACTAATTTTCATACAAAACACTTTTACTAAAGGAGGAAAATAAAAATAAGAAATGAAGACTCAAGTCTTGTTGGTGTGTCTAAAATGAAGTAATGACCTTCCCTTTTATAGGCAAAAAAGTCTTGGCCTCTTAGGTGTAAAAAAAGATATACAGCTTGTGCAAATGATGTCCACTATACAATGCAATATTTTTGGGTCTCAAAGAATATTGAAAACAAAGTTTACACTTTGCAAAGATGCTTATGATTATGTTAGATGGATTTCATTAGCCAAAATATTGGCCATAATTACAAACTTCGTGGTGGCATTATGCTGGAACTGTAGGAGAAGAGAACAACAACAAAAAAAGATGAGAGAAAAACTAAACTGATGTTACAGAAGGATGTAGTTTTGGAGTTTTATGGACTATAACACGCCTTTACGAAGAAAAAGATGCCAAAAAACTTCTTGGTTATTTTAAGTCAAATTAAAAACCTCGTACCACATGTTGTTCTCAACTACATTTTTTATTTGGCAACAGGGATAAACTGGCATATTTTGCAAGATAGCACTTATGATCAAGAAGCATCAAATACTGAAGAAATTCAAAATAAGAGTGCTCAACTCTCTGCTCATTAGCAATGGCAGCAAATAATGTAAAGCTTCTGGGATTATATGAAAGTCCTTTCATGAACCCGGTCAAATAGCCCTCAAAATGAAGTCTTTTGAGTAGGAGTATTTTCATGAGGATTTGATTACAAAAAGTGAGCTCCTCCTCAAATTCAACCCTGTTTACGAGGAAATCTCAGTCCTAATCCACGATTAAAAGCCTATATGTGAATCCCTTGTCATCCTTCAGTACATCTATGAAGCTTGGCCGAATGGTCCCTCTATTATCACTTCTGATCCTTATGATGGTGCCATAGCGGGGTTTTGGGCAGCCTAAATAAGGACTTGTTTCATATCACATCACATGTTACAAAACTTGACATGTTGTTTGGACTAGTACATAAGTTAGTGTCTATCGAAGTTTCCTCTTGTTTTCCCCTTTCATCTTCTTGAAATCATTGTTTATATTGGAATTTTCCTTAGAAGGAAAGGAGGCAAAGGGGAACACTGCTAGAGAAACTAACTGAAGAGGATTTGCTGCTGGAGGAAGTTTTTATCAAGATCAGCAAAGCTAAACCTTTTTTTTATGTGGAGATAGCATTGGTTACCTTGACATTATTCTAGGGAGTTTCCTGTGTTGGGTGAAAGCAGAAGACATAATGGCTGAAATGAAGATACTAGACAAAACCAAGATGCCTAGCCTAGTAGAATGGTATGAGGAATTTTGCTCAGACAATGTTGTAGAGGATATCAATCCAGACCTGAGAAACTTGTGGAAATTTATTGGAAGTATCAGGAGAAGAATTAAGAAAGCTACTTCAAGTGTGTCTGAGAAAAGTGAGTTGCTCCTAGAAAGACATAATGTAATCGTAGTCCTTTATAGGCCCCATTTGCAATAGAAGCAGTTTTAAAATATACTTACCAAAAAATGGCTGTACAAATGGTAAAATTCCTAGGAAGGCTTCAATTGAATAATGTATCATAGTCTTTCTTAACCCCCACTTGCTACAGTTTAAAATATGTGAAAAATGGCTCATCTTCTGCAACTTGTGAAAAATGCATCTATGATGTTTTACAACATCTGTGAAATGTAGTACTCTATTTCTCCAACAAGATAAAACTAACTTAACAGACTGAAAAGTTAAACAAACCCCACGCCCTCCTCACATTTTGGCAGCATCTATGACCGTTAGCTAAATCAATTTGAGATATTATTTGGATTATCTAATGGACGATTCTGATTCCATAAAAAATCTTAAGTGTAGTATTGAATATTGTAGCCATTTGAAGTATCTTTATGTATCAGGTTGTGGAGATGTTGAGACCACGAGAAGAATAATGCGTATGATCCAAGCAAAGTCACTAGTCCAATAAGAATTTTAACATGAAGTTTGGTACCCTCGATTCCTTCTCTCTTTCTCTTGGTGATTAGTCGTTTCTTATCTTGCATAGTTTATCATATGAAGGCAGAGGAATCGGAAGAGGCAGCAATATAGAAAGCGGCTGAAGAAGTTTTTTGAGTTTATGGCCTATAAGATCCCTTTACAAAGAAGAAGATGCCAAAAATGTTGTTGGTATTTTACATCAATATGAAAACCTTGTACCACATGTTGTGCCAACCTACATTGTTTATTTGGTAGCAAGGACAAACCGGCATAATTTACTGGAAAGCACTTAGGTGCAAAAGGCATCAAATGCTGACTGATATCTGTTATAAGAGTGATGTATTCTGCTCATTAGTCATTCCTTCAATATTAGTTGTCGAGGAAGTTAGCCATGGCAGCAGGTAATGTAAAGCTACTAGGAGTATGGGCAAGCCCTTTCGTGAACCGGGTTGAAATAGCCCTCAAAATAAAGTCTATTGATCCTGTGTTTATACAAGAAACTTTGTTACCCAAAAGTGAGCTGCTCCTCAAATCCAACCCTGTTTACAAGAAAATCCCAGTCTTATTCCATGATGAAAAGCCTATCTGTGAGTCCCTTGTCATCATTCAGTACATCGATGAAGCTTGGCCGAGTGCTCCCTCCATTCTTCCTTCTGATCCCTATGGTCGTGCTATAGCACGGTTTTGGGCAGCCTATATTGATGAAAAGGTAAGACTTATTTTATACTTATTAGATACCACATCCTAAATTTAAAACTTCTTAATTTGTTTGGACTCGTATTTAAACTCTATGATATTTCACGAATAATCACTGACTTTTACTAACTATAACAGTAACGTCACTGAACTATTTCTTGTCACATTAAAGTAGCTGAACTTTACCAAACTTGAAATGTCGATTGGACTAATAGTTAAGTTCATCAAAGTTTGTTCTTGGTTTTCCCCTTTCCGTTTCTTGAAAATCAATTTGTGTACTGGAATTCTCAATTAAATCCTAAGATTATGGTTGCAGTGGTTTCCATTGGCACTGGAGTTTAGGAAAGCGGAAGGAAAGGAAGCAAAGGAAGCAGTGCTGGAGAAAATATCTGAAGGGAATAAGCTGCTGGAGGAAGCTTATATCAAGATCAGCAAAGGTAAACCTTTCTTTGGTGGCGATAGCATTGATTACCTTGACATTGTTCTTGGGAGTTTACTAGGATGGGTAAAAGGCACAAGAGATAATGGATGAAATGAAGATACTAGATGAAACCAAGATGCCTAGCCTAGCAGAATGGGGTGAGAGATTTTGCTCAGACAAAATTGTAAAGGATTTCATTCCAGAGCCTGAGAAACTTGCCGAAGTTTATCGGAAGTATTATAATTTGAAGAAAGTTACTTCAAATAAATAATGTTGCTGATTTCTTTGCCTGTGCCTATTAAGTAAAGGGTGTCTTAGGTCCCCTCCGTTGGAAGGGATGATTTGGTCCTAGATCTTGTTTAAAATATTTGAGAATAAAAGAAGTTTGATCTTATTAATGAATGAAACAAACACTCCTTGTTTGACATTCCTACATATTAATAAATGATATGTCTTGTAGTTAGAATCGTTTCGTTGTATGTTATATCTGATGAAACCATATGCCATAGGCCAGCAATGCTGTGTGACCTTGTCAAAGTCATCTTAGTACTAAACAGTCCAAATCAATTGCTTCCTTGTTTGAAAACAAAAAAACAAAGTCATCTTAGTATTCTACTTATGCTAAGTTATTCGAATATGCCAAGTTAAACAAGTATTTGGCATTAGTTATACCAACCTCAGCGCAAATTGCTATGTTGCCAAAGCATATAAATACTTGATTAGCAGTTAGCTTCATTTCATATAAAACCACCAAGTAAATAAGTAATTATCAAGAACATTTACTCATGGCAGCAAGTAATGTTTAGGTTCTAGGTATACAGGCAAGTCCAATTGTAAGTAGAGTTCTAATTGCCCTTAATGTTAAGTCTGTGGCCTATGAGTTTATTCAAGAGGATATGTCCAATAAAAGTGACCTTCTCCTTATATCCAACCCTGTTCATAAGAAAATCCCAGTTCTCATTCACGGCGACAAGCCTATCTCTGAGTCCCTAGTCATCGTCCAATACATCGATGAGACATGGACTAATGGCCCCACCATTCTACCTTCCGATCCCCATGACCGAGCCATTTCCAGGTTTTGGGCTGCCTACATTGATGAAAAGGTATTGGTTTCATTTACTACTGTTGCATTTCGTTGAGAATCTTTTCTTCAAAAAAAAAGTGTTGTATTTAGAGTACTTAGTTCGATCTAACAAAAGTTAACTTTTTGACAATTCTGTGAATACGCAAAGTTGCTAACATCCAATCGCAATCACAAACTAAAGAGAAAGTAAAACCTTGTCATCTGTTGATAATTGGCTGATAATGCTAAGAATCGAGTTAACTGTCCGGAAAGTTGAGTCCTCTTTGGCAATATATAAGATCACCGAGGACTCGACAACACAAAAAACTACAGATCTATGATTGATGAGACCATAAATATATATATATGAGGGCCTTACCTTGATTACATTGTTTGCCTTGACACTGATATTGGGAGTTTACTGTGTTGGATGAAGGCAGAAGAGATAATGGCTAAAAAGAAGATACTAGACGAAACGAAGACGCCTAGCCTGGTTGAATGGTATGACAGTGATTTTGCTCAGACAAGGCTGTAAAGGATTTTACTTCAGAACCTGAAAAACTTGTGGAAATTTATGGGAAGTATCAGGGGATGAAGAAAGCTACTTCAAACTAATAATTTTGCTGATTTCTTTGCCTGTGCTTATTAAGTAAAGTATGTCTTAGGCCCCTCAATAGACATGGAGAATTTGGTCTAGATCTTGTTTAAAAGAATTGAGAATAAAAGAAGTTTGTTCTTATTAGTGAGCTAAACAAACTATCCTTGTTTGAATTCCAAGATGTTGATCTGCACTATACATATAATATGCTGCATATAGCTTTAATGATTTAAGAACTAAAATTACACTAAATTCTTCCCACTATAAAGGGAAATACCATCTGTTTAGTCCACTATCTAATAGCTTCAGTGAGGAACTATGCTTCCAATTGGACCACATATTTACTTTTGCCAGTACTTAACAGATTAAGATGCAGAGAATAATGCATCCTTATTTCTGCTTTACCACAACAGGGAACCAAGTATTATGGACTATAATATTCCTAGAAAGACTTCAATGAAATAATGTGATCATATACTTTCTTTAATTCCCATTTGCAATAGTTACAGTTATTAAATATGTAAAGAATGGCTCATCTTCTGCACTTGCAAGTAGATTATACTTAAACTATCACCATGCTAGGTAGATCAATTGCCTGCAATGTTGTGTGACCATTTCAAACTAATAATTTCTAATATTTGTTTCTATAGAAAAGCTCCATTTGCCATATGCCTGCAATGTTGTGTGACCATTTCAAAGTCATCTTAGTATTTTCTGAAACCAGTTCCAATCTATTGCTTTCTTGTTTCGCAACAAATATCAATGTCATCTTAGTATTCTACGTATGCTAAGTTATTAGTATATGCCAAGTTAAAAGATCAGTAATACATAAACAGACCATCAAACTTTGCCTCAGCTAGCAAGTATGCCCTCCAAATTTGAGTGTGCACAAGCAGATACCTCAACTTGTATGAAGTTGAACACGTAAATACAAATGCTGACGTGGCGCTGACATGGCACATAAATTTGGGAGGTGTCTAGACGATCATTTTGTAAGTTAGAATATTCAACTGACAAAGTGGAGGCAAGTTGAGGTGCCTGTTGAATTTTTTGTTTTAAGATAAAATAGTCTTAAAATGAGGATGAATGGGAAATGGAGGGAAAATGAAATTTTTGAGTAAAATTTTAAGTTTTCCTCTCTTGACAATGAGACATTGTCCCATATTGGAAGAGGAAGAGATTTTTGGTGGGTATATATATAATTGCTCTTCTTGTAGCTCTTAAAGAGTTAAGAAGAAAGCAAGCCTCGCGCCGTCGTCGTCGTCGCTCGGTCGGCTCGGCTTGGGCTTCGGCTACGGCTACGGCTTCGGATTGATTAATTTTTTGGACCAAATTTATTTGTTAATAGTAAATATTAACGTAAGACTATCCGCATTTGTAACGGATATTTTTCAATTTGACCATTTGGCAACCGCCTAATGCTCTTCCCACCATGAATGTGCTTGCTCCACAAACAAGCTAATGCTTGCTCCACCATGGAGGGTGGACGTTTGGTCTTCTTCAATACTGGCTGCTATATATATGTGCAGCATATGTTGAAGAAAGACACTCAACACACAACACACAATTCGCTCAACAAATTTGGTTATACATTGCACTCCTTCCTCTTAGCATTTCCATACGATTTTCTGAGTTTCTACTCCTTCGTTCTGCATTGTTTTTAACTTCAAACAAAGCAACTGTAAGTGTGATTTGCTACCGAACTTTGTGTTCGCTGAAACACTGGGGTTTGAAGTACCGCTACACCAGTGTGTTATTCGTTCTATCCTGGGAGGAAATAATCCATTACCTTGGGTACTAGGAGGGGATTAAATTCCTTAAGGAAACACTGTGAATTCAGTGGGCTCGAATTAATTACTGTTTTATTACGCTAACTTATATTTTGCAGAATTATTTACAAATACAGCAATATTGGCGGGAATAACAGTGCCTACTTGTGCACACCCAAGGTTGGAGGGCATACTTGCCAGCAGAAGCAAAGTTTGAGGATTTATTTCTGTATTATGCCCATTACCGATACACTATGTTATCACTATATGCCAAGTTAAATATTAGTTAACATTGAAAACACCACCATCAACGTAAATCGCAATGTTGCCTGTGCATATAAGTCTTTGATTAGCTGTATGTTTCATTAACATTTGCAGCCACCAAGTAAATTATCAAGAATAATTTAGTCATGGCAGCAACTACTGTTAAGGTACACAGGCAAGTCCATTTGCAAATCGAGTTCAAATTGCCCTCAATATTAAGTCTGTGGACTATGAGTTTATTCAAGAGGACATGTCCAATAAAAGTGAGCTTCTTCTTAAATCCAACCCTGTTCATAAGAAAATCCCAGTCCTAATCCACGGCGACAAGCATATCTCTGAGTCACTAGTCATCGTCCAATACATCGATGAGACATGGACTAATGGCCCCTCCATTCTACCTTCTGATCCACACGACCGTGCTGTTGCTAGATTTTGGGCTGCGTACGCTGATGACAAGGTATTTGTTTCATCTACTGTTACTTTTTTTTATCAAAAATAAATCTTTCTGTACTTTAATTTAGTGACATACACCAAAAAAATATTCCTAAGTAGTGTCAACATTTAGTAATACACTATAACGACGTCATTATAACTTTAGTTTTTATGAAGGGCCTTTTGCCCATTGATTTAGTTGAATCTTATCCTAGAAGAGGTTTGGGGTCGATTCTGCATAATCATATCTTTCTTTTGAAAATACACATATACAGGTTGAGGTTTGAACCCCTGACCTCTATAATGGGCACATGATGCGCTTGACCAATGGACTAAGAAGCAATAAATTGTCATATGGTATCATTCTATATTGCCACTACTAATTTGCTTTGCATATTGTTTAATTTATTGTGTATTTAGCAAAAATGTATGATGAAGTGGTGTTGGATGTCACCCCTTCGCGCATCTGCCCCTGCTTGGACTCTTTCATATAGACTAACACAAGTTAATGAATACTAACTTGCAGTGGTTACCTTTGATGTCGGATCTTGGAAAAGCACAAGGAGAGGAGGCAAAGGCAGAAGTGCAAGAGAAACTAAAAGAAGCACTGGTGCCTTTAGAGATGGCATTTGTTAAGTGTAGTAAGGAGAAAGCTTTCTTTGGTGGAGAAAATATTGGTTACATAGACATTGCTTTGGGGTGCATTTTGGGTTGGACAAAGGCAATAAAGATAATGTTAGGAGTGGAAATATTTGATGTAACAAAGACCCCTGGCTTGGTTAAATGGGCTGAAAGATTCTTGGCAAACAAAGCTGTTAAAGATGTCATTTTGGAGCCAGAGAAACTTGTTGAAATCCTTAAGTTACATTTGGCCAAAAGAGAAACTGCTAATGCAAACTAAAGCATGGTGTTTGTTATTTGTTCGTTTTCTTTTTGGGTAATAAAGATTGTCTAATGAAGCATCTTAGCTATTATGCTATATACAATTTCTTTGCAGTAGAAGCAAACAATTTTCTAGCTGCTTCTTGCCTTTGATTCCTTCACCCCCCACCCCCACCCCTTTTGTACCTATTGTTGGACATTCAAGAAGGAACTTGTTTAGTTGGCTTCACAAAGACCAAGACTATAAAGCTAAATATGCGTAACTACAGCAGAAACTCATTGTTTTTGACTTAGAATCCTATAAATATTTAAAAGAAAAATGTATACATATAAAAATCTCTGTACTTGCGAATGTGCTATTTCAGTTGAACTCATTGCTTATGACTTGAACCAAGTAAATATGTTTTAAAAGATTTAAAATTTATACACATGATAATAATAATAATAATAATAATAATAATAATAATAATAATAATAATAATAATAATAAAATTATACTCATTTTGAACTTGAGACAATAAAATTACAGCTTACTGATTGATAAGACCATAAATCTATGGAGCCTACCATATATACGGTTTTTATAGGTACATGTGATTGTTATATTGCGAGCTACAATTATATCCTTGTCATGATCCAAAATCACCACCGGTCGTAATAGCGCCTAATCCCACTTATTAGGGCAAGCCAATCATAACATTTGCACACAATAATAGCAATGACATAATTAATGAAACTGAAAGTCGAATAAGCAAGGATAATACTAAATCATTACACAAATCCCCAGGTAACACTAGGTCATAAGCTCTACAATACGAATACAAGTCTGCTAGTAGAAAATAATGTCTGAAACAATAACAGTAATAAAAGATAAGAAGAGATGACAGGAACTCCGATCAGAAAGCAGCTCTACCTCAATCTCAACACCTTAGCTCACAATGCTCAACTGATCCAACTCCTGAATATTGCCAATGATACTCACTTGACAACCTGCTCAATTCCTAGATATGCAAGTACGGAGCAACGGTACCGAAACTAAACATGAAATACAGGTACGACCAATCAATGCACATAGAGAAAATGTGTGCAAGTGTTGTAGCAGTTTAACATCTCAGCATATAGAGAAGATATGCGTCTCACACCAATGAATCATCAACATTTTCATATAGAGAATATATGTGTAAATAATCAAATCAAGGTGCACAGATTAACATATAGAGAAGATATGTACCGTGATTCTGTTCTTCAATCAAGCAGCATATAGAGAAGATATGCATAAAGAGGCATGTATACATTCCAGAACTAGCATATAGAAAAGATATGCGATAAAATCATGTATACATCCAAGGTGTTTGCATATAGAGAAGATACGCAAAAATAAAACACTGGTCATTTTTATTATACCGTGTGTACTTCATCAAGAGAGAAACATAAGAGGATGACTCTAGGGGATGTATACTTATCCACACGTTGCAAGGACAACTCACGTACCATAATATCACAACTGCACGGACCGCTCACGTATTGTCAATCCAGTCCATCACACATAAAGCATATACAAGAACACATGTATACGAACAATGAATATTAAATCACATACCCATGGACTGATGAAAAGTATCATGCTAAGGTGTATGGATGTGCAAAGTGTGCTACTATAGCTCATATTAGGCGGATATGCCATAAAATAACCATTATCATGCTTGAACAAGAAATCAACCTACACATGATCTCTATCATGAAGTTCACGAGGTCATACAAACATAAAAGCATGATAACAAGAAGCAAAATATCCAAACAAGGCATAACATAGCCTAAAGACTACCCCCGGACATGGATAAAATCTCGATGCATGCATACATGCTCATCGCCCCGCATGTACGTCACCCTCACATGCAGCCATCATCAATAAATCAAGCAACTATACCCTCAACCAAAGCTGGACAAGATCGAGCAAAATTCAATACTCCAAAAATGCCTTCCCTCGCGAATTGACCTCTGAACGGCTCAAATCTAGTCAAATAACTCATTGTGATGTCAAATAACTTTATTCCAAATCTTATCGCTCTTGGTATGCCCACATATCCATCTCAACATTCTTATTTTTAATACTTTTATCTTCTGAACATGAGAGTTCTTGACTGACCAACACTCAGCCCCATACAACATAATTGGTCTAACCACCATTGATTTCCTCATTCGCATGAGAGACAGACACATTGTGCACTCAAGATGATGAATGCCATCACAGAGATAAAAGAAAGATATTAGAGCTAGACAATTGCAACAAATAAGTATGAGTTCTTCGACGCGCGAATAGCTCAGTTGAATTTTGTTCTTGTTCTAATTCAGAAAGGACAAAGTTAGGCATGACAAATAGTGCGGGTCGGTGCGATCGTGGGTAAATCGCATAAACTCATGAAAATTTCAAACCACTTGTGCTGCCCCACATAACAAAATTTGCTATTTTCAATCCGCCCCACATAAACTCGCCCCGCCCCACAAATGTTTTTCTCCACTTAAAAGTATTTTTCTTCTTTTTTCTACTTTATTGTTTAAAAATTTATCATAAGAAAGGAAATATTATTTTGGTACAAACTAAATTATAATGTGGGTGTTTGACCAAAAAATATATACTTTTGATTAAACTAATTAATATTGTATGAAGAATGGCTAAACCTAGTTAATAATAATAACTTCGGATCTATAATCGATTAACACCAATAACGCAAGAGTAGTGTTGAGAGAAGATTAAATGTGATGTACATTCAATATTTCAAGATCATTAATAATGGGGGAATATCAAGCAATAAATAACGATAAATGGCATTAAAGTAAATAGGAAGAATGATTCACCCAATATTGAATGAGGTGGATGATTCTTCTATCTGACAATGATGAATGATAGACAAATAGTAGAATGTTGGGATCCTTCTCGGATCTAATAAAAAAAGTGTGGAATAGTACACAATCGAATCTCTTTAGAAAGTTAGTGATTGTCTTTTATCTAGAGAGAAAGTCTATTTTTTAAAGAATGTTCTTATTAAAGAATATTACATATCTCTCTCCCCCTATCTCTTTTTCTATTTATATGGGATATTCCCCAGTCAACCCTAAAAGTACAGACACAAAGAATATTCTCCTGAATATTCTATTACAAAAACTAGTCGTTAACACTGCCTTTGATACTCGACATCGACTGTTATTGACTACTCTGCTACGAGCCCCGTTATCTACTAATCGACCTCGACCATATCGCTTTCCACGATACTGCTTCATGTTAAATCCCACTGAGGCAGATTTTGACCCATACAGTGGGTCTTCTATTCAAGAGATGAGCAGACTTTGTCTTCGGTGGAAAACAAATTTGAGGATAAAATTGAACTTTAGAAAAACTTAGTTTTAACCTATTTTTATTTAGGGAAAAGGTCCAAAAATGCCCATCTACTATGGTATATTGTTTACTTCTGCCACCCGTTATACTTTCTGTCCAATCTAGCCCCTACCGTTAATCAAGTTTTAAAAAGTACCCTTAACCCTAATGTTTTGACACTGTGGCAGCTGACCCCCTCAATTTCATCCATGCCAGCTGCCATGTCATCAACCCCACCAAATTAAAATCCCACAGACCCATTACATTCCCTGTCACCCACCTGTGATCCGTGACCCGTTTGCCCACTAAATAAATAAGTTAGACCCGTCTAAATTGACAAAGAGGGTTATTTGGTCTGCATACGTTCGATAGAAACGAGAGAGAAGAGTGTGGAAGGTTCAAAAGAAAATCCTCTATTTTCAGTGTTTAATGTTGTCCAAGGTAAGATTTTCCCCCAAAATCAGTGCTAACAAATAACTAACCCGCAATAAATAGGGAAGTCTGAACTTTTCTGCTAGTTTCATATGCTTGTTGTTCATAAATGAAGCATTTTTGTCTTAGGGTTCGCATTTCTTTTCTGATAAAGTTAGGATTTTTAGATTATGCTTCGTGGTTTAGGGATTTCACTGTTATGTGCTCAGATATGTGATTTGTTGTTTACGGTTTTACTTTGTCTGTGTTTTTGTGGTTGTTTGTGTTTGCATGTGACTTTCAACTTTATACCCTAATTATTTGTCTGTTTCTGTTGGTCGGTTAGGTATATTGGTGGAATTGATGATATTTGGTTTATTATTACTTTGTTTTAGAAGAACTTTCTCTCGTTTAGGATTTCAAGTATGTGTGGTCCCTTTTGTTTTTTAAAAGAAGGGTCGCATATGGTTGGTTTTTTAACTGAAAAAGGATTTGAAGTATTTGTTAATAACTGACTTGTTGTTATTTGGTCTCATGTTTCACCTGCATTTACTCTGAAGATGATGCTTATGTGGGTCTCTTACAGATATGTTTTGTGCTTATTTTATTGAGGTGGGACTCTAAGTTTGATACTTTATTATGTGGTCCCCCATATGCATGCTTGTGTCCATTTTTTTATCATAGTACCTCATTCAATTTTGTTTCTTTATTTATCTACCTCTGTACCTTTTCCTTATTTCCTTTATTTATCCCTTCTTTTGTTTATTCAGGCTTTCCCTTATATGTTTATTTATTATTTCTGTACCTCTTGTCTTTGTTACTTCTTTATGCATTTACTATGGTAGGATGTAATAACTTTATTCATGGTTACTATGCAGCCTTTTATAGATGGTGCTAGTTGACTTAGTTTTTCATCATGGTGGGGAATGGACTAGTAAGCCATGTCTGTTGTATAAAGAGAAGTATGTGCACATCAATAAATATTATGACTCAGACTTGCTCTCTTATGCTGATTTAGTTGATGAATATGATAGCCAGTTTGGGTATATAGGGGTGCAACAACTAATAGTAAAGGGTCCTGCTGGTAAATACTATGAAATAGATGGGGATGTAGGGATTAGGACTTTATTGGACTTTGTTAGTGAATAGTGTAATGTTATTAATTTGTTTGTTGTAGAAGAGTGTGAACCAGCAATTGATGTACCTAATATAGTCACTCACAGTGAGTCATACAC